TGTATTACAGAGAAGGGAGATAATATTCCATCATTATATTGCTCTAGCATGGCTCCCCAGCGATACCATACTCTGTTGGGACCCGCAAACCACATTACTAGAAAGGTATCAACAAAGTTGAGTTTGGTGAAGCCAAATGCGATAGAAAATTTAGCTTCCTAAGAAAGACCAAAATACAGGACTTAGGACAACTTGATAAAAGGACTAAGAGGAACTCAGAAATACAAAGTTCTGTGAGAATTGAAGGATTTTGATTAAATGGGTGAAACAAAGCTGTACATGGAAGTACGAGTAGGATTAGCTCAACTTAGTTCAGAGCCCAGCAGTGAAGGAAAAAAGATGGCAGTGAGCTCTTCTGCATTGTAGAATAGTCTCACTTTGGAAACACTATTGAACTTGCAGGAAAAATCTTTGCTCTTGGTAATTACTTTTATATTCAGTTTGACATTGGCAAGGTAGGAATTCAGAGCTAAAAAGCTTTTACATCTCTAATGTGTCAGTTTCAAATTCTTTAGCACTGATTAGCCAATATATGGTAAATGTGTGCTATTTTGTCCTGTGGACTGCAATGAAGATCAGTCCCCAAATACAGCTGTTGTTTCCTCATTATACCACATGGAATATAATTAACATTGGGTTAATTCAAAATTTTGGAAAACTCTAGGGTTGCAGAGATCAGACATATGGTTTAAAGCTTGGGTTTTATTCATGCATGTATCTAGGTGAGTAGTTTCTTCGCACACTCCCGATCCATTCTCCTTGCCTTTTCAGTCTTCTGAAAGAGTGTAGATAGTCTTTCTGGGGACAGTGCAGTAACCTGTGGGACAAATAGGACATGTTTGTCATAAAGCTGAATGCTGCCTTCTCGTACTGCCACTCCCTCAGGTGAAGTAGACTGAAGCAAAGGCAGCCAATATTTTTGTCTGTTTTTGTGGGTTTTTTTTGTTCTGTTTTTTTAAAGGAATGTCTATCCTGCTTGTTGAAGATCTTTTTATCAAAGAAGAAATGATAGTTTATTCCTCTGCAGGGCAAGTCTTTCACTTGCCTAAAGAAAAGCATAAAAGGGAAACCATGACCTTGCATGTGTCTTTTTATATGCCAAAGGTGCATAGTCTATTGCAGATCAGAAGTCAAACTCTCAAGCAATCTACTTCTGAAATGCTTAATGATACAAACAATGCAACCTTGTTGCTGCAGTAACAGTAATTCAAGGCTCTTCTATAAGCACATCTACCACTGCAGCTAAAATATAGCTGATGAGTAATGTGGCCAGCTTAATGAGGTAGTAGCAACTTGAACAATTGGAATTTCCATTACTTGTTTCCTTCCACCTTAACTTAGCATTGACACTAGCGGTTTTTATTTCATTCACTTAATGGTTATGTACTCCCAAGCATGCAGTTGTAGCTTTCCTAAAGTCAGTTCACTGTAATACAGCATGGTCTCCTAGCATATGTGAATTGTTTCCGCTAGTGTAACATCTCTGACGTAGTTGTGGAAGGACGGCTCTGCTCAGGCTCCGAGACATTTGCTGGAGGTGGCAGCACTCTGCTCTGCTCCAGAGCCCACAGAACCTGGTACCCATCCAGCTTCCTCACAACTGTTCCCATCAGTCAGCTGGGAACAGCTCTGGGGGGAACCTCATGAGCTCTGGACAATTCTCTGTTTTGATATCTGTAGAGAAAATGTCACCCTGCTCCTAGAGTATGTTTTGGTTTTTTTTTTTTCTTTAAATGTTAATCCTTATACCAGTGGCCTCATCTGACTCAGCACAGCTTCTGTCTGAAGGGAGGGAACTGTAAGCAAGTCGTAGATCTTGACATAGCTGGAGAATGAAGGGAAGAAGGCACACCAAGAGAAACAAAATACTGTTATTTGAGCAAACAAAAAAAACCCAACATTTTTTGGAAAAGTCTAACAGGCAGTTATGTAAAGCCACTTAAACCTAATCTAAACATCACAAGCTTCTGAAAACAAGGGGATTGTCTATTATGTACACAAAGTTTATGTCATCCTCAAGTTTCCCAGAAGGTTTTGCTGAGGTTTGTGCTGGTAGTTGTGATGGCGCTGTACCTGCTGCACCAGTCCAGCTCCTGGGTTTGCTCCAGATGTTTGACTGTGAGAACACCTGTGTCTCTCACCTTTGGAAATGGGGCAGGGTTGAAATAGTCATCTGAGTGGATCACCAGCTTTCTTATTTAGAGGCTGATTGTATTAAAAGTCTGTAGAAGGAAGAGAGACCTATGCTAAGAGTGTCCCCAGCAAATGAAGCTGTGACTACAGAACGAGCTTCTTTACTGTTTGCACTTCATTATTAGGCATGGAGCTTTCTCCAGGCAGGCAGAGGGGAAACAAATACAGGAGGGAAAGAACTTAGAGAGGCCTGGAGAAAGAAAACTGTGGAATATTTTTACTCCAAAGTGCACCTGGTAGTGATAGTGCAGGCATGTGAAAGAGCTGGGGTCCTGTTGTGTTGAAGGGGAGCGTTGGCCAGGACACTGGCATATCCTCTACACTTTCTTTTTTAAAGTGCCAAGCTATGCTGAACGTTCATGCAGACACAGATAGAAACCAAAGGAGTAGGAACAAGTGACCTCAGTTTAACATTTCATTCAAATGACAGTGCACCTAATGAGATTACCATGCTAGTTTCCTAGCACGCCACCCAGCCTGAAGGATCTCACAGATCCTTTCAGATGTCCTAAACTGATAAGCAAATGGCATGTTACACATGTGAAAGTAGGATAGAAGCAAATAGTGTCTGATTAAACAGCATCTCTGTTTCTTAATGCTTAGCTCTGTTCAGCTTGCTGTACAATTTTATTATGTTCTGGGTTTTGCTCCCCCCTGCTTTTTTTTTTTAACACAAATGACTGAAGATTTAGGTATAGGAAGGTAACATGCACAGAATTCACAGTCGATAAAAACATAACCTGTCTTCGAATAATTTTTTCTGTGATACGGTCTTTACTAGTGAATCGATGACTTGTTATGTTTATCTTCCTCCTGGTTTTATTCCATTCTCCTGAACCCTTGAAATGGAGCCAAGGAAGGGCACTAAAAACCAGCAGTGAATTCCTAGGAAAAGGAAAGGAGTAGTGCAATGAGAATTTACCTTCAATCTTTTGTGTGTGCATGTGACCTTTTAAATAAAAAATAATAAATCCAGTACTAGTGGTTAGAAAGAGAGCTACTAGATAAACTGGCAGGCCTGAAAACTCTGCTATTTGAAGTGCAACAAGTCAGTTTTGTCTCCCCTCAAAGTCATCATCCAAACATCACTGGTTCTGGGCTCATATAGGGTAGGTCACAAATGCTGTTAATGTAAATGTGCCCTAGAGGTATTTGTGAGACATGAGAAAACCATTTTCTTTTCAAGCTGTGTCTTGCTATTTGCTTTGGTTTTAGTTTGGGCCAGTTCTACTGGTTTAGTGTAACTTTCATTCAAATCCATGTGAATTGCTGTGGTTTGATTTGGACCTCTGACTAAAAAATATGGTTATGTGGTTTAGTCTAGTGTCTATGCGGAGCTTAATTATTCCCTTGTACAAATGGCTTTTCTGCCACTATGAATACTAAACAAACACTTATTGCCTCATGGTTTTGAAAAATTATTTACCATCTCCTCAGATAAAGACTGAGGCCTTGGTAGTGTTTGCTCTCTGCCATTTCACCATCAGTTTTTCTGTTGCATTTTAAGGTAGGTGTATGGGCAGAGTGACCGATTATCAACATTCAAACTGAGCTACCTCACTCTAGTGCATTATGTGTTTTCGTTGTCTTTTTGATTATCAGAGTAAAACCTGTGCTTTTTTTTTTCACCTTAACATAATGGGAATTTCTTTCTAATCGGAGGGTGAAGGCAGGGATGCTGTGGAGATACAGGAGAGTGGTTCTGGAGGTCCTGCACAGATTAATGACTTGAAAGGGTTGAGTGTTATTTAATGTTTATAGCTTTACCCTGAGAGCAGAAGCTTTTTGTTTACATCTGTAGTTCTGCCAACAGCTTCTTCCCTTCCCTCATGTTCTCTGTATTTTAGCTATTCCAAATCTAAGGCAGAAATGCTATCCAGCATTACGGAACAAGGATTATAAAGTTTTATGGAACATCTAACAATGGGAATATAAACGATGAAAAATCAAAGAATGAATTAAGGAAGCAGTTAGCTAGCTATTTTTTTTTCTTAGCGTGCCGCTTAAGTGTCATGCCTTTAGAAGACTTGTATTGAAATAGTGAGACAGGTATGTAGCGAAACTATGCTTTTGCCATGGAAATTAAATGCTGATTAGAAATAACCCATAATACCTCTTTCTGTATTTAAAGAGAATAAATTTTAATTTTCCCTTGAGAAAGCGAGGGCTGTGGAACCAAGGGCCAAACATGAAGTTGGCGGGGGGGAGTTGTGATGCTAAATGCATGTAGTATATACTTTTTTTCAGTTTAACAAACCAGTGCAAAACAAGGCAAACACTCCTTTTTTTGGTGCCTTTCCTGCTATATACAGAAAGATCTATGTAAAAACTTGTTTGTACTACATTATATATCACAGTGCAATAAACATATGTTCTGAAGCAGAAGTTACAAATGGCCATGTAGATGTTAACAGGTTAGTAAAGAGATTTGGGTGTTTGGGATTTTAGCATGGGAGTTTGCTTGCTCGTTTTATTACAAAATGTGTTTTGTCTGTCCATAAAGTAACTGAGCATGTAGAGGGGCTTGGGAAGCCTAGAAAGATCTGTCCCCTTCCCTGGGGGCTATATTAGACCTCTGAGTCATGAAGTCTTTGCATAGTAGGTGTCTGGTTACAAACCTTTTATGGGCCCTACTCAGCCGGGATATCAGCATCTGCATTATAGCTCCCATCTATTCTTAGGTGATATCAGAGCACAACTGAACAGGCAAGGCAGAAAGAGAATTGCTTTCATTATATAAAACTCTTCCCTTTTCTCATTCTGTTTTTTCATGCTTTCTCTGTCTACCCTATCCTTCTGTTCTGCAGTGCTTTGTTGCCTTGTAAAAGAGGTACAAAATGGCTTACAGCGTGACTCTGAATGGACCTGGACCATGGGGGTTCCGACTGCAAGGGGGCAAGGACTTCAACATGCCCTTGACCATCTCCAGAGTAAGTGAGCAAAAAAACCAAACCTTGTTGAGCTTGTTTAGGTTTGAAAATAGCAGTGAACTAATCATATGTACACTCTGACCTGGCCTAGCAAAATAAAGGATCTTTGCAGCTAGGTCTGAATAAAGAGAATATAATGTGGACTATAAATATACCAGTTTAGGGTACAACTGGCATTGATGATGCCTCAGGAAGACAGTTCTGGTTAGTATATTTTTAAGAATGATAATGTCTCATTTAAAAAAGCTTCCAGTTCTGTTTTGTACAGTGTTGTCTCTTTTTCTGCTGATAGAGGCCTCACTGGTGCTGTCTATTTGGGGGGAAGGGAGTAGAACAGCTATGAATGGGAATATAAAATTATATTTGTAGAAAATAAACATGTAACTGCTTGTAAATACGTGAAGTCTGGGTGTTAAAACTGAACAAAGATAGGGATACATGTCCCCTCTTTTGAGGGCGAGCAATAATTGGATGAAAATTAGACATGTCAAGCAGAAGACTCAATAGTGCTTAAAATACGGTCTTAAATTATGCAGAAGCCTTCCATTTGCAGCTGACAAACAGCATGTGATTTAATAATTAATTACGTGGTATATCTGTCAATTACTGATTAGTCCATTTATTTCCAAGACATCTTTCTTTTTTTTTTTTTTTTCCCCCCTAAGAGCAATATTTTAAGGTGTTGCAGTGGACTGCTCTTATTACCTGAATTACCTCAGTTTCTTAAAAGTTTTTAACATTGGATGGTTTTCAGGAAATTTGTAAGCGTTTCCCTTACCTACCCTTCTCTTATCAAACTAGTTCTGTGTAACTTCTGGTTTGGGAACCCTGCTTTCTATTACCTCTTGCAGCTCCCTCCTCTTTTTATTTTTTTTCCTTTTTCTTTTCTGACAGTTTCAAGTCTCTTCCAGAATGTTCAGATCTTTTTAGAGATGTCTTGGTTCCTCCACAAATCACCTGAAGAAGGCTTATTTTGCACAGCAATGACAAGATTACTTATATAACAGTGTTTAAAAGGAATACCAGAATGATTTAATCAGACAAACAAATAGAATGCAAACAAAAGGTCTGCTCCACTGCAAAAAAAGCCACCTACACTACTTTGAAAACTGTTTTTTCATAATGAAAAAAATACAGTCTGTTAAGTTGTGGGTACCAAATTGATATCCCTGCAACAATCATGAAACAAAGTCATCAGTGAGCTTCTGAAATCTTAACTATGCTATTTCATATTCATACTGTAAAGCTTTGTATTATTTGATCTCCCTTATTCTTATGCACAATATTCCTTTCTCTGAAGACAGAGCCACATTTATCTTAGTATTAAGTCCTATGATGATGAGAGGAACTTTTCATAACCCCTTTTGCAGAAGCAGCATAGTAATTGCAAAGAAGGCTGTTCTGTCAGCGTTACTAAAAACAAACAAAAAACAACCAAAAAAACCCCTGCCCACAAAAATAAACTCACTTCATAAATTTATACTAATTTCACTATGGTAAATAGTTTTGGTATTTCTTTCCTTATTGCACCGAAGGTAAGTACAGAGAGGTGCCAACATATTTCTGCAGACATTTTCAAGACACTGTGCAGCCTGCACTGTATGGTGTTGATTATTTTTTTTGTAAGTAATTCAGTCACACCTAGAGGCTGTCAGTCAAGGGCTGTGGCACTTGCACTGTATATGACACAACCAGAAATTAAAAAACGGTTGTTTCCCAAAGAACCCATTGTCTCAGATTATAATCTCTTAAATATACTGACTATGACCAAAGGCTGTATGATTCTCATGGAGCTTTTGAGAATTTATGATGAGCAGGAGTGAAACTGCAATGGCTGTATTCCCAGAGGTGTGGAGGAATTACCTCTTCATACAGCTGGCTGCATTTCCAGCAGTAGAAGCATCAGAAATCACTGTTAAATGTTTTGAACTCTTTCCCAGTGAGGCCCAGTTTTTAGCTGGGAGCGTTGCTTTGGGATGGGATTGGATTTTGTAGCCTGCCTTAGAGGGGGGAAAGCGGGCATGCAGAAATGAATGTAGTCTGTTTCAGGGGGAGTTGGAGTAGGAATGCCTGCTGATTGTAATATTTTTTTAATTGGAACACAGTGTAATACATGGCTTTTGATGATGATATTCTTAAAGTCTCTTTTTTCTTTAGCATCTTTCACATAAATATATCTCCAAACAGATCAGATGTTCCCCTTAATCAGCAATTTGCAGTCATAAGTGAGTAGAGCTGTGAACTTAGCCATAATTGCAATCTTACCATGGGAGAAAAGGAAAGCTGTACTTACATTCTCAAGATATTCTTGGGGGGAGTGGGGGAGGGAAGATAACCGTGAGGAAAGTCGCCCTTTTTGAGAAGAGCACACAGCTCTAAATGTTGCCAGTGGATGCTGTACACTTATCTATGGACTGGTTTTGATCCACAGCTGTCCTGAGATGGGATTAGACTTTCTATGTGCAAGATGAGTCGTAAACCCCAAACACTTCAACTTAAAGGGTCTTATAATTGCTTTCAATACCAGATGTGCCATGGCCCTTTCACGTACACATGTGTAGTATCTGTCTATGCAGGCAGATAGGGTTTACATGCGGACATGCGCCTTATATTCTAACTACCCCCACTCAATTAGACTGTCTGTGAGTGGGCCACAGAGAAAAGAAGATTCATGCTTTTTCATGGAGGCTTTGTGCTTTTCTGTCATGCCATGAGAGAGTTGCCTCTGAGCTCCTGAGAAAGGTGATGGCAACAGTCTACCACACTGGGATTGTTCATCCCATCTATAGTCTTATGCCTGCACATTTCCAAGGACTTTCCTGAAAGGAGAAGCTAGTATTGTGCCAGTATGAAGCTAGCCCGCATCTAGACATAAAGTGGGCACCCTGGATTTAGGAACCAGAGCTGTGGCTTAGCTGTCTGTTGACCTGCACTCTGTCAGCTGGCCCCATACAATTCCCACTCAGCTTGTACTTCACCTGAGAAGCAGGGGAGAAAACCTGAAGGTCTTCGAAGCCTACTGACAAAAGCACAATGCAAGATTGTGGCATTGCTAATGCTTCTGTTCAGGAAAATGCTCTTAAAACAGTGGGCAAGGAAGGGAACTACTTGGAGCTGTTTGGCTTAACAGTTCAGTTTTAAAGGGCTCTTAAAAATGCTGTCTGAGACAATGTATTTTCTTCCCTTCAGGTAGGTCCAGGTGATCAGCTCACTGCTGAATAGTCAATAGCATAAGACACAGGAGTCAGTCAGCTGGGTGACAGGTGAAGATGTGTTCCCCTGAAATGGATTGTTCTGCTTATCTGTTCTTTATCTAAAAAGTGCCTGACTAATGTAGCGGGTGGGGACAGGAAAGGAGGAGTCAAAAACGGGTGGAGAAGAGTTAAGGTCACTGTACAGCTTTCACACTCTTTAACAATGGCATTAGAAAATACTCTGGGAAGATTTAAAAAATGTGTTTCCAGTCCCCACCCTGCAGACCATCCTATTACCTAGAACAAATCCTGTCATGAGATGTCATGGGCAGGTAGCAGAGGTAGGAGAACAGTATTGACAGACTCTTAGTAAAGCTGAGCATCTGTCAGTCCTACTGAAATGAATGAGACTTGCAGGTTGTTGGCAATGCTAAGAGCTGTCACCAGTGGTGTGATCACATGCCTAAATCTGGTCTTACCAAATTGATGTGGGCAGCAAAGCAGGTTATTTTATCCTACTGCTTGCATGAACTGTCTGGAAGGAAGCAGAATTCATTAATTTTATAAACCTAATCCTCTGTAAGAAGGCTTTAGGCATAGTTAATTATATAAGTGCTGTGTTGCCATGTTACTGAAGATGGTATGATTGTACATGGATGGACACAATAGCAGAGCCTCTTCATATATTTCTGAATTATTATTGCTGAACAGCAAGCTTTTTGAGTGAGACAGACTAGGTTGCAAGTGATGCAATGAGCTGAAAGGTATGCAAGGATCATCATCTGAGATAGCAGAAATAATATCCAGAACAGTGGGGAAAAGTGTTAGAGAATTATTTTGGCTTTATTCTGTTAAGTGAGGAAGAAGTTGAAGTCTGGTGATGATGTAAGTGCAGTGAGGGGAAATGGCAAATGCTAATAGGAAAAAAATGGAAATTGGCTGATCTTTATACTTATTCTGATACAAGCAGCCTGAAAGAGCTCTTTGGGGGGAAAAATTCCTATTCTAGCATTTTGCAGTCCATGTCTCTGGAGGAGCAGGAAGGCTTTACTCACATTTGTTGGCCTCATTCCTTTTATCAGCATCTATTCCTGATTACTTCCTGTCCTTCCTCCACTCCCTAGCATACATATGTCAACCTCCCTCTGTGACTGTTTCCTTCAGAGGAGCTATGTGAGAGTATTCATTTCCTGTGGGCCTATTGCATATGGGATATCAGAGCCTTAAAACAGGCAAGTGATGGGTGAAGGGAATCCCTCTTTGCTTTTTTCTTCTATTCTTGAATGCAGGGAAACCTCAGATTATCTGGGTCAGGCACTATGCATTCTGCAACTGTCATTTGGATGGCCATGTGTTGCTGTACACAAATTGTGATCAGAAGAGTGCAGTTTACTTGTATTGACTGAACTGAAGAAATTGAGCAAGTTCACTTGAAATGCTGATTCCTGTTAAGCATTCATCTCTGGTGAATCGAACTGCTGAGTAGTTGTCCTACAGCTATGACTGCAATTTTGAGAGGGTTTTTTCATCTCCGGATGTGAAGTCCTTCACCATACTAAAAGCCATAGATTAGTATTTATAATAGTTGATAGTCTACAAAACCTAACAGGTGAGTCTTGTGTCCTCTAAAAGCCTGCCTTTTTAACTATTATTCAGTAGAGGTGTTTCCTTTTCTCCCAAAAACTCAAATGACTAAGTCAACTGCTGAGAGAGGGAGTGGCCCATTTAATGTAAAGACTGTCTTATGTCTAGATAAACTGTATTAATTTCTTATGCATGAGTGGTTTCACATTATTCCAGTCTTCT